TTAAAAGTAAGTCTCTTATCAAATATTAAACCTAGGAATTAAAGACTAGTAGTATTTACAATATTTACATTATTATAGTTAAGATAGAAGTTATTACATTTGTGTTTTCTACAGATATGGAATAATTTGCATTTGTTTGTAAAAATATTCGCACTTGAGCAATTGGACCAATTTGAAATATCAGAAAGGATTTTTAAGAAGGTATTCTTAACAGTATTAAGATTATTTTGCTTGGAGAAGATCAGCACATCATCAGCATAAATAATATGCGAAATGAGTTTATATTTAGAGATTATCATACTAATTTCGTTAAATGCGATTACAAATAGTATAACAGATAATGGTGATCCTTGTGGTATTCCGTTATACATATTGTACGTGTTCGAAAAAGTGTTATTGATTTTAGTCATGAATTTCCAATTAATTAGAAAATATTTAATAAAGTTAAATATTTTTTCACCAATTTGCCACTTCTCAAGTTGTCGKAGAATGACATGAGAACCAACTCTGTCGAAAGCTTTCTCGGAATCCAAACTGAGAGTGGATATGTGGTTTCTTTTCGATAAAGCAGTTTTGGCGCAATCATCAAAATAGAGTAAAGCATCCATAGTGCCTTGCCCTGCCTTAAATGCCAATTGGTTTTGACTAAGTAGGTTTTTATTTAATGCGAACCACGAGATACGTTTTGATATGATTTTTTCTAATAGTTTACCCATGCAACAAACTAGTGATATTAGCCTGTAACTAAGAACATCTGCAGAGACTACATTGGATTTAGAAATAGCTACAATCACTGCATTTTTCCAGCTTTGAGGGTAGACACCTTGGCATAAAATATTTTTGTACAATTTAATAATTCTATTTTTGAGACTTAAAGGATATTTAGTATGGGATATGAAATCCTGTCTGCACCGGTAGTCTTGCCTGACATTGAAGATAAAGTGAAATCGAATTCTGCGATGGCTATGTTTGATTCGGTAATAGATGGGGGTGAGAGATCTTTACTGTATCTTCTTCTGAGAAGTTTTTATTTGATACAAACGAGGGTTGGAAGTTTGAATCTCTCGAATAATCGGACCATACAGAGGCGAAATGATTAGCTATTTCTCTTGAGTCGAAAATTGTTCCACTTGGGTTGTTTATACAATTAAGATTCAAGTGCGTATAGGAGCCTGAGAGCATTTTTATGTCGGCCCATAATTTATTGGGATTTGTTAACGGAGTGATTGCTTCGATAAGTTTTTGTAAGCAAGTCCCCTTAGCTTCTTTAATATTTCTCTGAAACACTGCATTGGCTTTTTTTGTATTTAATTAGATTATCAATAGAGAGAGTTCTTTTGTAAATTAACCATAGTGATTGTTTTTCTTCTCTAAGTTTAAATAACTCCGTAGACCAATAAGGCACATGATTTGATTATTTTGGTAATCGTTGCTGTTTCTTTATTTATATTAGAGTTGAAAAATTTGGACCAATTAGAGTTGTATAACATAAATTTTGGCTTCGCCGAGCCTTTTCTGGATAAAGGGGTTGATAAGTGGGTTATAATGGGGAAATGATCGCTGTTATAAAGATCAGTTAGTGTTTGGCTGTTAAGTTTGGGGGCGATAGCAGAAGAACAAATGACCAGACCTACATTCGTGAACGAATTATGTGTAGAATATTATGTAGGAGAACCGTCGTTTAAAATTGTCAAGTTTTCTGCTAATAAAAGGTTTTCTATGATTTCACCTCTTTGGTTAGTACATGCGGAACCCCAAAGAGGGCTCCAGGCATTGAAATCGCCAAATATAGCGTAGTTCTTTGATATTAAAGTTTTGGTGTGGTGGAATGTAAATTGTTAGGATGGTTAATTTAAATCCAATATATATTTCTATTGCTATTGTAGAAATATTAAAACATGTAGGGAGAAATTTGTGTGGGAAGTTTTTTTTTATTAAAGTAGCAATACCCTGTTTGTTACTTTGGACACAGAAAAAATCGCGTTTAACATATTCGTCTTTCCATAAATCCATTGCAGTAGAAGCGTAGCTGGATTGTACATTTTATGTTATTTCAACAGGAATTTCTTCTTTTTTTGTTTTGTATTTTTTTTTTCTATATTGCGCGAAATGATTATTGGGTTCTTACTTCCGAACGTCAACATACTTTTTTTCCATACTTTGTGGCTATAGCCACCAAAAATTGGACTATTGTTTTTTAATCTGAAGGCCTTCACGGAAGAAATCGGACGACAGTCTTCAACCATCCAATCAGTGTAAAGTTCTAAAGCAAATCTTTTATCCTCTTCTCTTACTTTCTGTCTGGGYAGTTCAGTTATATGTGATTTAAAGCATTTACATACATATGTCTGTTGAGAGTGGAAGTCTGCATGCCATGGCATTTATACACTTTTTTACAATTACAACATACCATGTCAAGCAATATACTTCTGCCATCAAATATCACTTCTGCCCTTCCGTTTTATGCTGGCCTTATAAATACCCATAGCAATTTTCCCCACTAAGTCTTCGTTTGACTTCATCGTGCAATATCAACTTGAAATAAATTATAATATATAAATATCAGTATATTTACCTTTACAAAAAACCTTTAATACTAAAACTCTTACAAAAACAGACAATAACGAAACAGTTTCTCAGCTCATGATCCGAAATTAACACTTTTATTCTTTGAATTATACCAATTTTTTTCATYCTTTCCTTCAAAAAAGTGAGTAAAGTCAAATTATTTTCTACTATTGAGAGAGTCATAAATTGTTGTCACTCATATATGTAGAAATAATTTGATAATTTTTTTCTTTTGGTGGGAATGAGTCTTAGTAATTTTTTATATTAGTAGAGTACTCATTTGCACCAATTTGTATGGCTCATGACTTAAGTGCAGTAATTTTATTGGTACCAATTGCAAATCTCTGGTGTGTACGTAAACAAATTTTAAAGAATCCTACCCGTGTTTGCTAATTTGTGTACACAAAATTTTGTATGTAAATAGACATACACTAATTATTTCTCACGAAAACTCCGTTGTCACGGACAACCAATGGCCGAACTTCAGGGTTCGGCAAAAATTCAATATAGTTTAAAAAACTAAAAACACGCTTTTAAAGCATATCAAACTAAAAAGTGAAAACTAAATCTTTGTAAAAACTAACAATAATAATGAAGGAAAAATTCCAGCGTTGTTGTGAAAATAGCGTGGAATGCTCGATRTATGAAAAATATGTCACAAAGCAAACAATTTAACGTGTGTTTCGATATTCTTAATACGCGTCGTGATCAACACCTTACCCTGTTTCGCTTACTTTTTGTGAAAATCGTAGTCGAGAGATTGTAGCGGACGTTTTTGATATCTCTCAAAGATATTACTATAATAACCAGTTGCGCGCTCGCTTCTGTCGAATTGCAATAGTATGTAACGCTGTTCTGTCTTTCTTGTGTTCAGAAAAATTTAGCTTTAAGAACTGTTAAGTAATGAGATATGACAAAGTCTATATGYACATTCTGCAGCTGATACTTGTCGTTCATGAAGAATCTTCATACATATGCTGAACAGTTTGTGTGAAATATCAGTTTCTTCCCGTTGAATTTGCTGTATTGCCTGTGCAATTCCGGAATCTATACTTGCATGTTCTGCTTTCGATAGGTACTTTGCTATACAGTACGCTATGCTTCGTTTGGTGTCTATGCCAGTAAAGAAGAAGAAACAAATGCCACAAAGACCTACTCGTTTCAGTCCTTACCCCATTAATCGCACTTCTTGGATGGCGGTGATATCAGCCCTGTCTCTTATACACATCTAGAGGTTTTTTCGCCTTCTCACTTTAGTTCGCCTAAAAACTAATGTTAATTGGCTACCCTGAGGATACTTAGTTCAAAACCGTAAGAAGTTGGCAGCTTCAGCCATATTTAAAAGATTCGTTTCTGGTCAMTTCGAAGAGATCCCTAGACGCGGGTTAATTAACGTGTGTTTCCCGTTAAAAAAAATTAAGTATCCTCATTAGGGAGAAAAAATAAGTATCAAAAGTATGAAAATATCAATCAAGTATCCTCAACCTAGGAAAAAAAAGAAAACAGAAGACAAAAATTGGCGAGTTAACGCAATTCTTTTAAAAAATCAACTGAAAAGTGTGCTCCTAAAATTTTTGGCAATTTTTGGTATTTATAATAATGAGTGCTGTGCATGGAACGTGAACTATCTGTGGCAGAGCAGCAATCTTACATTTACGGATATGCAAAGAATCAAGAGAATAATTGTAAGACACATAAATCTTTATATAATATATAAAAAATGACGTGTCACGTTTTTTGTCCGCGATGGACTCCTAAACTACTGAACCGATTTGAACTACACCTAAATTACTGAACCACACTGTATCCAGTTCGAGATAACTTATAAGATAGGATGGTGAAACATTCATAAATAAAAAATACAGTGAAAGCTCCATTAAGCGGACAGCTTTATCAACTAAACAGAAAGTTTGTAGCCAGACATTGAGAAAGCAGAGTTAAATTCGATATTTTTCGCTGAAATATCTACTTTCCAATGGTATAAAATGTTTACGTATTACTATAATAAATTTGCTCATAAAATGCAAAAACAGATAGCGAAAAACGATTATAATATGTTTTCTTTGTTTCATCTACCTATTATTTATTACACCTAACAAATACAAATTCCCTACATTAAATTGATTTCGAGTGTTCAGTTTGTATTGCAGATATAWGGAATAGTTATCCAATCTTAACAATTTAAATTAAAAATTTTTTTTATTGTATTAGACGTCAAATCGTCAAATGAGAAAGTTTAGTTTGTATGGCAATAGTCCGTTACCCGCGGTTTCGATGAACAGCTTGGAGAAAAGAGAATGTGTGCAAAAATGCAGATCGATATCTAAAAAACTGAAGGGCTAGTTCGCGTATCTATGCATCATACGTAGTTTGTGTTTTATATAATATTATAGAAAAAAAAAACAGATTTGTATCATCTAAAAACCTGCATTCCGCTCTCTTGATATACATAGAAATTTTAAGTGCTCAAAAATGCATTAGTTTTATAGTTTATTAGTCGATGTGTGAAAGAAAAGAAACAAATGGCTATGCACCCCTCAGAATTTACTGTATTTCGTTGTTTTAATGGTATGGTATCGACATATTCAGTTTTTCAAAAAAGAGGGTAAATATTTGCTTGGAAGAGTTTTGTTCTTTTTTTGATCGATTGATAAATTGTGTGAGATCCTAAGTGAGATTTTTTCACAATTAAATGTTTATGCAATATTGAATGTATGCTTCCTGATAAGGAGCAGAGCATGCATCAGCTTCTTTGTAAAATATGGTCGGACGAAAGCATGCCCAACGATTGGAATTTAAGTGTGCTATGCCCAATCCAAAAAACAAAAGACCCCACAGTCTGCGCCAACATTGAACATTGCATATAAGGTTCTATTGAGCTTATTGTGTCAACGATGATGAAACTGAAACTGATTGGACTTTATCTGTGTGGCTTCAGAAATAGAAAATCAACAACCGATCAGATATTCACCATGCGCCAAATTTTGGAAAAKACCCTTGAAAGGCGAATCGACACTCACCACCTCTTCGTTAATTTCAAAGCTGCTTTCGACAGCACGAAAAGCTGCCTTTATGCCGCGATGTCTGAATTTGGCATCCGTGCAAAACTTATATGGCTGTGTGAGCTGACGTTGACCAGTACCTAAAGCTCCGTCAGAATCGGGAAGGACCTCTCCGAGCCGTTCGATACCAAACGAGGTTTCAGACAAGGCGATTCCTTATCGTGCGACTTTTTCA